ATTATTATTATTTTTTTAAATAAATTTATTTAAAATTTTAATTAAAAAAATAACATATATATTTTATTTTTTTTTTTTTTTTTTATTTTTATTTAATCTATAAAAAAAACAGGTACTAAAAAAAATTACACTATTCTGATCAACTGGCCAGAAGTTCGAGAAGATAACCGGGTAAACCAAATTTCAATATTCAAATCCTATCTGAAATGAGTTTTCAAAAATAATTTAAAATTAATTTTTAAAAATTATAGACAAACATCATACTCAAATATAAACGTGGAGTCATGATTTGACCTGTCAACCAAACACCCTCTAAAATTTTGCTTTGCACACGGTGGAGTGGAGATATTTTATTTTCTTTTAGGTCTTCTATAAAACCAAAAATAATAAAAATAAATAAATAAATAAATAAAAAATCAGTAGCTAGTCGCTGCTGATAGGTTTATAAGGGAGTGCTTGGTTGGTAGTTGTGATATTGAATTGGGGACACTCAAGGTTTAGAATTCCTTTTTCTGATTATCTATAATAACTATTTTTTCTGTATCTTTTTGGGAATTTCAGTTTGTTTTATGCGAATGTTTCTGTGGGATCACCGAGCTTACGGTTTCTTGTGGCACTTGACACCGGAAGCGACCTGTTTTGGTTACCATGTGATTGCATCCAATGCGTACGTGGCTTGCAGACAACATCTGGACAAGTACGTTGTTTCATTCTTTGAATTTTGGGTTGCTTCCATTGCATAGTCCTTTCTTTTCACATGATGATGATAAGTTTTGTTTGTTGTTACGGGAAAATTTGCACCATAACATGATTTATTATATAGATTTTTCATTTCTCTGCTTCACTCTTTTATTTTGTTGAATTTACGTTTTGTTAATCTAGAATGTGGTCTGAAAATAGCCAGGGGAACAAGATTTTAGAAGCAAAATAATTCTGAGCAGTTCCATCATGTGTGGTCAAATAGGATTCTTGAAAACTTTGAATGTTAGGTGAAATGCGAAGGAAGTTTTAGAAGAAATGATGAGTGCAGCAAGTTGCCTCTTCAATTTTGAAGGCCTTAACACCATTGTGGTTGACGGAAACTTGTTAGATTCCGAGGTTTCTTTGCTGTCTACCTAACACAACTGTCTTGCATGGGAATGGTTGTCCAAAAGATTAGACACCGAAATTGATGCAAAATTGTTTTGAAAGCTAGCCAATATTATAAAGTTTATGTGATTCAATTAGTTTGAGCAGTTGAAGGATGTGGAGGTCATCACAAAATTATCAGTATAAAATTTTACTATTGAGAATGTCCTAGGTTCTCATTTCCATTTTTGCTCAACCATTAATTTGGTGTGTATAGCTATAGGCACTGTCATTATCATCATTCCATTCTGAGAATCTTTTCTAATTTATTTCCATATCTTGACCTTTGGTCCCCATTGCTACTGAGTGTCAAATAGCCCTGAATTTGATATTAAGTTCCATATTATACCTAATTGCTACTGAGATTATTGGCGTGCACTCTCATTTCAGAAACCTAGTTTCAGTTGATTGAAAGATTTCTTCAGTCTATTAGAATTCTTGTCCAACTTAGAATTCGACTACTCATTTTCATATGTCTTCTTTTGTTGATCAGTTGTAAAAGTTTCATGAGGACAATAGCTGATTATTGTGTTTACTTGTAAACTTTTGATACTAAATGAGCTTTAAGCAAAGCATGCCTTTGGCAACCAACAATTCATCGCTGTTTGGATTTATTGATCACTGAAACAACGGGTTTATTTATACGTTGATATTGCTAACTGCACAATTACTTTGGTAACCTCTTTGTGAACAGGTAGACTTTAATATTTACAGCCCTAGTAATTCAACAACAAGTTCGAAAGTTTCCTGCAACAGTACCTTTTGTGGACAATGCTCACTTAATACATGTCCCTATTATGACGAATATCTTTCTAATAATACTTCATCTTTTGGGCTCTTGGTAGAGGATGTCTTGCACTTAACTACAGATGACAGTCAATTAAAAGCTGTTGATGCACAAATTACATTTGGGTAGGTAATATCTTGTATTACTTTGTTGTCATATACTTCTAGGATAAATTCTGTGTGGTTTATGTCAATATCAATGAATCAATGATTGTCGAAATTGTCAACATCTGTACTGATTAATATGATATTGCCATTATTGTCATTGATTTTCATATCATCATTCAGGTAAATCTATATTTTTCTTTAACATGACTAATTTTGTTTGTGGAGGCAAATTTTCCGGGGAGATCAATGATGTTTTTGGCACCCGAGAGATCATCAATTATATAAATGTTCCTACAATTTCCATCAGTGAACTTGAATTTTTTTTACCCTAATTGATGGGGCTTGTTCCAATTTTATGTCTTCAGTGTTTCTTCTTGTTCTTAGCACGGTAGATGGATGTTGATCTAGCAAATTATGTTTTCATCAGCCCTTATGATCTCTATGTTACTTTCCTTGCAGCTGTGGCATTGTTCAAACTGGTTTATTTTTGGATGGTGGAGCTCCTAATGGTCTATTTGGGCTTGGTATGAAAAATATATCTGTTCCTAGCATTTTAGCTAATCAAGGGCTTGCTGCAAATTCCTTTTCTATGTGTTTTGGACCTGATGGAATTGGGAGAATTAGTTTTGGAGATAAAGGCAGCTCAGAACAAGGAGAAACACCATTCAATCTTGGCCAATCACAGTACGTGATCAATTCTATTTTTGCAAAACCTGTTGACAAGCTCCCAAGCTTAGCATCTGTACTGTCTTGTTTATCTTTGACAATCACGTGCATGTACTGATTTTCTGATTTTTCTTGGAACTTCTTGCCAGTCCAACTTATAACATTAGCATAACACAAATTACCGTGGACAAGAATGTCACTGATCTTAGTTTCACTGCAATCTTTGACTCTGGTACCTCATTCACATACTTAAACGACCCAGCTTATTCAGTTATCACCGAGGGTGTAAGTAGTTTGAATAATGAACTCTTTATATTATATATAGATTAATTGTTTACTTAGTAAGAATTAATAAGTTGTGCTATCATGCAGTTCAATTCCCAGGCCAAAGAGAAACGGCATCCACCTGATTCCCAGATCCCTTTTGAATATTGCTATGATTTAAGGTCAGTTTCGACCTGGAGACTTAATAGTGACCTTTGTTCTTGTAAACTTCTTTTGAGACCCTGAGGAGTGACTTTTTTTCACATGCAGTGCAAATCAGACAACCTTTGAGACTGCATCATTGAATTTAACCATGAAAGGTGGAAAACAATTCCCCGTGACTAATCCAATAGAAATAATTGATATGCAGGTAATGTTTCACTTTTCTTCTAGAAAATAGTTAAGACTTTCAAATTATATATATATATATCATATATGCATATATATTTTTTGGATAACAAGGAACCCCTTGACCCCATCTTCGGTGAGACCAGGGGTAAAATCCCAAATATATGTTGGGCGAAGTAGGGAGTCGAACCTTTTGTGGTTTATTATCGTAGTCTTGCGTCTTGAAATATACTGAAATACATTCTTATGATTCTCAGGGTCAAGGATACATATATTGCTTAGCTGTTGTCAAAAGTGGGGATATAAATATCATTGGGCGTAAGTATCTTGTTACATATTACATTGCATATTCCCAAAAACATGTATGTAATTCCATTCTCATATGTTATTGCCTCGTTGGAAATTTGCTTCTAGTTGCATTCTTATTGACAAATTGGTTCAAGTACCTATTGCTTCAGCATGTTTCACTCCTTTGAGCATTTTTGTTTTCTTGCCGTGGTTTTGGGTGTTCTTGTTATTGCATAAATGAGATGTGGGTCCAAAATATTTCAGCATCGTTTCACATGCAAGAAGATATTTACTTCATTGATAGAAATTCTATGACCATTTAAGATAATGGAAAGTCTTTTACAGAAGGTTCTAGTTCTTTTATTTAAGTGAGATATCATTTTTTTGGCTAGGTAAAATTTTATTTGAATGATCCCAAAAATGTGGAGCTGGGAACCTTTGTACACAGACATATTACGTATACAAAAGAAAACTAAAGTCAGTTCTATGCAATCGATTCATCTCATGTTATATGCCTAAAGAGGCTATGTTAGCCGAATTAGTGGAAATAAAGTTTGTGTCAGCTGTATCGGTTAAAATATTGACTGTAATGGACTATTATATAGACTAATACAAATAGTATCGGCTGTATCAGCCAATACGGCTGTGATTTTTTTTCCCAACGATACAACTACGCGTATCCATACAGAGGCTCTAAATACCTTTGCATAATGGCCGATACCTAATTGTATAGGCAATATTTAAAACCATGATGATATGTATATATATATATATATAACATCCAAGGATGAAAAGTGAAGAAGTGATGGAAACCAGATTCATTTAATTTAGAATTTTGAACTGGTTTTGAAATTTTGCATAGTAGACCATCTAAGAAGTAAGGACATTTCTAAGGTGGCATGTCTGTCTTTGACATGTTACACTGATACTCATGGGACACTTGCCGACATTGTTAGACCTATGTGCAAACATATCCTATTGTTTTAACAAAAACTTTAGTCCTAGACATGGTTCAGACACTTGGGGGACACATGTGTCCGATTTCCATCGCTTATGAAGTTTGGAAGAAAAAAAAGAGACTTATGTAATCCAATGATAAAAAGGAAAAATAATGTAGATTTATACATGTTAATCTTTCTTTCTTTAAACTTAATAAATTAGTGTTATTTTTATTATCTTTGAACTGTATCCCAATTTGAAATGGAATGGGGATAGAACAAATGCAGGACTCTAATTTAAATACCTGCCCAATGAACAAGCCATTAACTCAAAATGGATAATATCCTTCACTTGATTACGGTTTTTCAAACTATTTTTTGGATAAAGAAAAACAAAGACTTAAGTAATCCAATGATAAAAAGGAAAAACAATGTAGATTTGTACATGGTAATCTTTCTTTCTTTAAACTTCATAAATTAGTGTTATTTTTATTATGTTTGAACTGTATCCCACTTTGAAATGGAATGGGAAAAGAACAAATGCAGGACTCTAATTTAAATACCTGCCCAATGAACAAGCCATTAACTCAAAATGGATAATGTCCTTCACTTGATTACGGTTTTTCAAACTATTTTTTGGATGGATTTTACTTTTGCATTGAGAAAATGTTCCTAAAGAAGTTAATCATCAATCCTTCCCCAGAAAACTTCATGACCGGATACCGTATCATCTTTGATCGCGAAAGGATGGTTCTGGGCTGGGAGTCATCCAATTGTGAGTACATCTCTCCAAATCTTGATTGTATATTGAAAGGGCAAATTACAAACCCCTCTCTCGAGATTTGGTAAAAATTCAGATTCCCCTCTGAGGTTTGAGAAATTACAAATTGTCCCATGAGGGTCAAATTTTCATAACAAATTAGGAGAAATTAAGGGGGAATCTGTATGAAAATAAAAACCTCAAGGGGCAATTTGTTATGGAAATATAAACCTCAGGGGGCGTGATGTAATTTCTTAAATCTCATGGAGGAATCTGTATTTTCACCAAACCTCGAGGGGGGTGTTTGTAATTTGCCCATATTGAAATGATGTTTAGTGCTTTCACATGACGATAATTTGTTTTTCCCAGGTTACAATGCTACCAACTCCAGCACTTTACCTATAAACCCTGGAAACTCTGGTGCAGTTACTCCGACAACTACTGTAGAGCCACAAGCCACATCAAGTTCTACAAATGGTTCACCTCTTCCGAGTCCTGATGTACCGCCGCCTGCATCAAGTGATTCACCGCACTTGAATTCTTACACTTACACACTACACGCCGTTGTCATTCTTTCACTCTTTATCCACGGTTTTGTCATTCTTTCCTCATGAGGCATTTTCGTCCCCCCCTCATATTTTGTTGATTGTCATTGGTTTGCGGTGTAATACAACATTATATTGGAGGCATATTGGTTGTTTCATATACAGATATTTTTTTTTTAGTATATCTTCAGCATTAGTTTGAACCTACCATTGTATATATATATTTGTGGTTTTGATCAGAAGCATACCTTTTGTATAATGATGGAGAGAGTATTTATTACCCTCTTTTTTTTCTGCTGTTTGGGATATGTCTATGTTCTCCTTCAGTTTTTTCAGATTGGAATTTTGTCTCTCTCTGGGGATGAACCTTATTTTGACCCTATTTAATCAACACTGGTTGAATTTAATGAAAAAAATAAACAGATAATTGTGTTTGCTGGGCCTCGGAGGTAAGTTTGTCACACCCTTTGCTGATGTTACTCAGAGGTGAACCATGTCATTTCTTTGCACTATTGCTGTTTGAGCAAATCCAACATTAGTAGCTATTTTTACTAGCAAAATGCATCAAAAAGTAAAATGAAAAAAAAGAAGCACAATGTTTATTTTAACTAGTTATTTTAGTTAGCATATTTTTCTAGGACTCTCTACTTAGAGCAATTCCAACACTAGTTATATTTTGGGTAAATTATACTGATTTCTGAAGTCTAGAGAAAATGTAAGCGGTTCATAATTTTGATATAATTAATACATTTCAAGAAAAAAGAAAAAAAAGAAGAAGAGAGATCGTGGGAATTTTTTTTTTTTTTTAATGTGTAGTTAGTGATTTTGACTAGTTAATTTAACTAGCAAAAGTTTGAAGGTAAAATAACTAACTGAATAGCTAATCTGGAGACTTGTATATACTAGCTAAAATACTCAATTGGAACAACTGGCTATGGCGAGTAATATTTTGAAGAAAATACTACAATTATAAAAGAATATGAGTTTTTTTGTTATTTCATTGTTAACTTCAGTAATAATATTTTTTATGTCACCCATATTTCGATCAACGAAAGAAAGTTGAAGCATTAAGCTAGCCTATTGGAATTACTTTCTTACTATATATCATCAAACAATATGTTTCAATTAATTTTTATAAGTTGCTTTATAATGCATACCATAATAGAAAATGTATCCCAAATTTAGGTGAACTATGGGAGATGGCTTGCAATCAACAAATTTGTATTTGTAAGAGGGGCCTCGGGCGGACTGGGTCTCGGGTCGGGTTTTGAGTGGGTTTGGAGCGGATTGACGAGTTGGGCCACGGGCCGAGCTTCAAAATGATGGCCTAGGTCTATGGTCCCGGGTTGGGCTCAGGCCTGGGCCTAACTAGGCCGGGCTCACTTCAGGCAATGGGTAGGCTTTGAGCCGCCCACGGACCGTGAGCCAAATTTACACCCTAGTGAGAGTAGATGCTAAGGAGAGGATGAATGTGTTGGGTTGGTAATGGTGGCTAATAATAGTAGAGGATGAGAGTGGCAATGCTGACGTAAGCTTTGGGTAAAGGAGATGGTGATTGGCGGGCTGTGAATGAAGAAGATAATGGTTAGATTTAGAGAGTTAGGGTTTGAAGGATGAAAGAAATGAGGGTATTTTTTGTATGATGGATTGTGTACTAAGTGGTACATGAGAATTCAAAATTATTAACATTGTGTTTGGATCATAGATTTTTATAAGGATTTGGAAGGGGGAAAAGAAATTAAAATGAAAATAGAGAGAAAGAAATAGTTTATATTTCACTCACATTTGTCTCACATTTTTCCTTTTCAGTTTCAAATTTATAATCCAAACACAGTTTAGTGTGTGTCTTGAGAGAAGATGTTTTACAAAAAATATTTGGTATGTGAAAATAGAACTTCTAAAATTTTACTGCATTCGAAGTGCATACAAGAGTGAACTTACCAAATTATCCCTAAAATGTTTTGCCATCCCCTTACGGGCCAGTTGGGTTGTGGACTTTGGCAACCTCCAGGGCCAGTTGGGTTACGGGCCTCAGCCTTTAATATAAAAGGCTTGTTTACTTTCTCAAATGTCATTAAGAATAGAGTAGATTACACGGCCCCTTTATGTTTTCATTATTTTTTCACATTTTACCCTTTTAAGGTGTTTTTTTTTTCACTTTAACCATTCAAATTTAAATTGTTTTAAATTTATTTCTAAAGTCAACTCTTTCCAAAATTAGACAAAAAATATCATATTGGTTGTGATGTGACATAAAAATATATATTATTATATTTGAGTTTAAATTTGAGTTAAAGGTGTAAGTTATATATAACAATATATTTCATGTCATCTGCTTTCAATGTAGCATTTTTTTATCTAATTTTAGACAAAAGTTAATTTTAAGAGTAAATTAAAAAAAACTTGAAAAATAAAGAAAAAAAAATTTTAAGGATCAAAGTAAAAAAAATGATAAAACAATAAGGGAGCAGAGTGTAATTTGTCCAAATAAAGCTCTACACTCCCTGTCAATAGAGAAAAACACCACATCATTGTTGAATTGGTAATGAAATGTTTAACCAATTAAGTCCTCAACATGACTGGCAATTTAATTAAATATATTAATGAAAACTTCATGATTCAATGTTGATCAATTCAGGAAACTCATTACTAGATTCAGTACAACTACTGCTCCAGCAATATAATATCATCATGGAAACGACTTTTCAATTTATTTTTTTAATTTTTTAAATTTCAGAATTAAGAAAGTGAACCACTTCAAAACCTCCACCAGCTCCATATTGGGAGATGCTTTCTATGTATGTACTTATTTTGAAAAACAAAGAAAACACTTTCCTATCATCTTTCGTTTCTTAGATTTTATTTTATGTTCGTAGAATTCTTTGGCATATGTTGGACTTTAGGTTAGAATTATTTTTGACAAAGTTTATTATCTTATTTATAATAAATTATTTTTCTAATTTCATTGTGAAGAATAAAATAAAATTCCAAGTCCGGCTTGCCCTTTTGTGCTCCATCAACTGCTACATTTTAGTCAACTGAACCTTCTTAGCTCTCTCCATGCCGGATTTTAATTTTTTTTTGGGAACCCCTTCAGTACACACCTCTTATAAGGTGTGTATCACATGTAATTTATTACTATTTTTTTTTTTCTGTATATGTTATATACTTTAACTAGGGATAACCTGTGCCTGAAGGCACTGCGAACAATTTTTTCTTGATACCACACGTGCTGCGAAATTCAATTATAATAAATCAATTCAAAATAATAATATCACTCTAATTTAAAACTTCACATAGAAAAAGAGGAACAAAATATATAAAGAAAATCTTTTATTTCAAATCTTTTATTTCCTAATGAATTTATCATGAATGTAAGCTTCCCACCTCATTCACATAATTGGGGTGGTGCCTTCAAGAGTTCCCACCTCATTTCCTAACATATTTTCAAAATCATCCATTTTTAAGGAATAGTTCAAATCAGTCTACTAAAAAATCAAATATCAATAGAAATACTTCAAATCCTCCTAACTACTTATAAATAAATGAAATAAAACTAACTCAAGTTACTTTAAAGACTAACCTTATCGTTGATACCAGAATATCATGGATGATATAACAAACCGAAGCTACTTTCACAACTAGCTGTGTTGGAATGTCAGAGGTCCTGAGAAGAGAAATGAATTCAAAAACAAACCATGAAAATTGTGCATTAAAATACGTTGGTCTTTCTTAATCAAGAAACATAAAATTCATAACCATGATCAAATTGTGAGGGAGGGGGGAGGGGGGAGGGGGGGGACTAAAGTCAAGTATATAAAAATTAAGAGGCAACAATACTATAACATCCTCCTCCTTCAATCCACTAATAAATTATTCTTTTTCAATGTAACTCTAACATCCTGCATAATAGACACTAAATTTACACAAAAATCCATGTCAAGCATTTGTGACTTCCATCAAAATATGCAAAGATACTAAATTAAATTGCTGTACTTAAATTTAGTGAATTTTCAAGGGCACTTTACGGTGCACACTCAATAACCATCCTTAAGGTCCAATATTTTACATTGATAAGAGACTTTACAAAAATATTAGAAATCCATTAAAATACATATTAGTAGGAAGCTTTACAAAAGTGGTTAACATCAAGCTTTACAAAAGTGCTTTACAAAGGTACTTTTTGTCAACTTTACAAAATGTATGCCATATAATGTCTTCAAACTTGGACGCCTCTACAAAAACTTGGACGACTTTAGAAAAAGTACTTGGACGCCTCTAAAGCGCTTGGACGCCTTCAAACTTGTTTTCCATCACATTTTGAAATGTCCATGTATCAACTTCTATGTACTTTTTCCAGTGAGGAGCATGCACAACAATCTAATATTTAAAAAACAATAACATTAGCATATTGAAACAATACGAAAAATAGATATTGAAACAATACAAAAAATAGATATTGAAACAATATGGACTAAGGATACCTTATTACAATTCCATCGGAGTAATGTAGTCTTATTTATCCTCTTGAGCTCCATAGCTTTTTCAACCCAATCCTACAAAAGTTTGACTTGATCATAATTTAAACAAAATTTTAATTAAAATACACTTTCAATTTATTTCCTCCTTTCATCATTTGTATTCTTTTTTAAACTTTAGTCACTTCCCTCTTCTATTTGGAAAATTTTATATATCCTTGTAAAAGATCCTTTATAATTTTTTCTAGTGTATTGTTTTTTAAGGATGCATAATTTAGTTTGGAAATTAGTAATATTACGGATTAAAAGCACCATGCCCATCTTCACAAACTTTATAGTAAAAAAAAATTACACATAAATTATGCATGCTTCAAAATATCACATTCCCCCATGATTTCCTTTACACATGCTCCAAAACAAACTTGAAAAGAACCATACCACTTGTGTATTTTTTATTCCCTTTCTCAAGTAGTTTTCCTTTCTTTTTCCTTTAAGCTTCTCATTTTCCTTTGCCCTTACCTTTGCCTTTGCCTTTGCTTTTCAAAAATAAGCAAAAATTATTAAGAAAAAATATGAGAAGCAAATAAATTTGATTAGTGGGCTTACCCCACGAACACAGAGGACATTGCAGTCCCATTCATTATGGAACATAACACTGACATTTCTGTTTTGAGGAAACTGAACCTGTGTATATATAGAAATGCATTTGAAAGGTAAAAGAAAAATTATATTAAGGAATGTAGATTAAATAAAAAATGAGTATAAAGATCTAATATTACTGTTTCCTCTAACATATATCATCCACCTGTAAAGAAT